TTTTTTTGCGCTTTATACTCTTGCCGGTTTTAAATCATACTTAATTGGTAACGTTAGACAGCGGTTTTTTTCTTCAGCAGAGCCTTTCCAATATTTCCGCGATGTTCCTTCTTTCTTCAGATCTAAAATAGATGAGTTCTTGGCAATACTACACGGAGCAAAGTACATCGCGGTTTCCATTGCATAAAGCGAACGGGAGTTTACTACTCCTCCTCGAGGGATACCAATCTATCAAATGTCACCCCCTCCCCAGATTGTTCTTCTTGTACTTAATTATATTTGTGGCTGTATAGATGCACTGTAGAACTTAAGTGTCCTCCTGTCCACGAATAAAACGCACTGAACCTTCAGGACTGAAACCTATTATTTTTCACCTGATGTGCAGCCTGGGAATCATTTGGCCACTGAGTCTGTACGATCCCACAATAAATGTGACACAAAAGTCGCGAGTCGCCGAGCCCCACAAAATCAAAAGAAAACCGACAAGCAACAAACCTGTGGGTCCAAAAGACAGCTTAAAATCAGTGGTGGGAGCTCCGTCGTGATTTGATATCTTACGAGTTTTATCCTGAATTTCCTAGCTAATAATTTACAATTCGTGTTAATTTTCTCCATCCAAAAGTTAGCTCCATTGAGTCATATTCCCCTTAGTGCTATCGAGTGGGTGAGGAGAAATATGTGAAATTGTCACTTGTAGTTTGAAAGACCACACCTCATCACAAATTAAATCTGCCACGGCAGTATTAGTTATGAATAACTGATAGGCGAATCCGTTCGCCATCAAATCTAAGTACTTCTCCTAGAACTGAAAAGTTATAGCTTAGTATTATAGTTATGTGAATTAGTGATGTCCACATTTGTTCGTTGTGCGGAAACTCTGACTCTATCTTGATAAGGATTTTTGTTGCCATCAAATTCCTTCGAAGGGAAAAACTTAGAGCAGCATTTTTTAAGCTCTAATTTGAACATGGGTAACCGAAAGGCATAAAGTATAGGATTTACCATAGAATTCGAGTATTGTAAAGTTTTTACAATTAGTAAAGTGTAGTATGAGTGGTTACTGGCTACATCTTCAATTAAAGACCATCCAAATACAGCGGTACAATATATTATTAGAGGTAGCCAACAGAAAACAGAAACAACAGTTACAATTAACAACGTGTTAGTTAGTTTCTTGTTTTGCTGCGCTCGAATTCCGGGAATATTCTGACGCGTTTGTTGGCGAATGAGTACGTACGAGGCACAGGTGATCGCTAAGGAAAAAGATGTCACTAATGCCACAATTATGGAAGAGGCTTTGGAAAGACCAATCGCTTCATTGTGGAAAAAAACTGAGAGAAAATCAAAAATGAACATTATTCCTGCCAGTATCCACACAAATGCAACGCTGTAGATATAACTTCTGATGCTCATCGTGCGGTGACGGAAAGGCCATCGAATTGCATAAAGACGTTCTAATGTCATTGCTAGTAAACTGATTAGTGCAACGAATGCAGAGAAAGAATCAAACCCATTGGTAATGATGAACTTCCGAAACCTGGATTGCTGGTGTGAAGCCAGATGTTGTATTCCGTTAGCAGCAACATGCAAAACGCTGATTCCCACTAAAAGATCAGCGAAGGCTAAGTTCAACAGGAGATACGAAGTTCGTTTTAACTCGCCCCGATGTTTCCAAAACACAAAGATGGTTGAAATGTTACCCAGAAGGATAAAAAACGCCACTAGGAAGTAAATCACACTAAAGGTGCATGTCACTATAGTGGCAGAGGAAATTTCCATTAGTAAAAATCTTTCCTGGTTCTCTTCCGTCAAACGAATGATCCAATAAATTCTGTGCTGTGCATTTTTTCAAGCTTGGCTTGATTTTGACAAAAACAGCAATCGCTCCTTACAGTCATGGACAGTATTTATAAAGTTGGAGTTATCAATCTTCCAAACAAGTCGAGCGGGCCAGATTTGCAGGTTCTTAAATAAATAGGTTCTTCTTTACGAAAATGAAACCTACCCGAAAATGATTCCAAATACTCACAGGTGATTTAATCACATTTAATAAATGTGATTACATTCAAATCAACCTGGTCGAAAAATTAAAATTGCAATGTTTTGAAACCGAATTAGGTAAACCGAGGAACAAATAACGCGTTAGGCCTTTCTTTGTTTTAACACAAACAGCTTCCAAAAAGGTATTTACGAAATGTTGCCCCATTGTAAATTGTAAATTTAAAAACTAAAAACCATGCAATTACACGCCACGGGAAAAAACAGTTGGTGCAAAAACAAGCATTGCTACATTTATCACGAACTTTATTACAAAAGAAATCTCATGAGAGAAATCAATTGATAAACATGCTTTCATTCATCAAGTCAAAAGAAATCTTTATTTTTCTTGCTATTTCGCCTGAACAAACATGTCTAAAATGAATTTAATTTATAAAAATTTGCATGCAAGAGACAATTTTTCTGCAATAGAAGAAGGGTAAAAGGTATCCAATCAGCTTTCATCCTCTCATACTTCAATCCTATTGTGGAAATAACAGGAAATAATAATATTCCTCGCATATCATTTAATTCTCCTTATCAGCGGATGTCAGTTCCAAAACTAATGCTCGGTTTTTGCAAAACATTTTACAGGGTATATTCCCTGTTTACAGTCTTGTCTCAAACTTCTGTAAAGTTACTTCTTTTTTTTTCCTATGAGCTGTTGCATCTAACTCTTTTGCACGACTTGTATCATGACTTCGTTTCTTCTTGGGCGAGATTTTAGAAAATATTTCCACGATTTTCCTCTTAATCAGTGGCATTCGAAATGCGTAGACGATCGGGTCTACAACAGAATTTAAATATTGAAACATTTTCGCAAGTAGGATAGCTCTAAGTCCACTAATGTGGGTTGTCATCACATCGTCAGTGAAATAAGTGCAAATCGATAGGACAATTCCCGGCAGCCAACATATGATTGATAGTCCTGTTACAATACACAAAGTCTTCGTCAATTTTTTGTTCTGCTGGTCTCGTCTGTCGTTGAAACCTTCGGGATTATTCCGACGTGTTTGCCTACAGATGAACATGTATGCCGCAATGATGATAACCAACGCAGAAACAGCTATTAGGACTAATGTTAAGGGACAAGCAACCCCTAGCTGGAAATAGTTATAGATTGTCTCGTGGTATAAAAAAACACAACCTGCCGCAGTTAGCCATATAAATAAAATAGTGACGATATAACTTCTAGTGTTTAATATACGGTGACGGAAAGGCCAGCGAACTGCATAGAGACGCTCCAAGGCTACTACTAGTAAACTAAGCAGCGAGGCCATCCCGAAAAAGGCGTCCAAAGTAAAGATCATGATAAACAACCAATCTTCCTGAATTACTCTCTTTGTGGTGAGATATTTTATTCCGCTGCCGACGAGAAATGAAATGTCGACTGTAACTAAGAGATCAGCGACAGCCAAATTTACCAGGAGATATGAAGTTCTTTTCAGTTCAGCGCGATGTTTCCAGAAAGCAAAGATGGAAAAAATGTTTCCCGCGAGGATGAACACTCCTTCGAGGAAAAAGATTACGGAAAAGATCACTATAGTAGAAATTTCCATATCATAGGCAGAGAGAAGGGCAGTCACCTTCGTAGTCGTTGTTTGGTCTCGTCATGCAACGTTTTCTCCCTTACTGCAAGTGGATCTTACGGCGAGTATTGTTCCAATGCATTAGTATTTCTAACGAAAAAAAATAACAATCAAAAAGAGGAATAGAAACCTTTGTTAAGGAGTGCATGAATTTCTACCAGGTGATAATAAACGTCCAATTGAGTCTCCTATTATTGTTAATTTTCCCTTTCCTCCACCTTTCCTCAGACTAACAAAGAACATGCATACAATGGAGCTAAAATAACAATTTCATGAGTTTTAGTTATGTTTAAACAACCTAGGGCTGTTTTTGAGCATTTCAAATGATCTTTTGATCAAAGTTTAGAATAGTGATCAAAATGAATCATATTCATATTCTCTTACACCACAGGAAATCTCTTCATTGTTAATGAGTTTTTTAATTTCCAAGTTCTATATTGATATATAACGGGTGAATTTGTATTGACTTGTGCAATTGCTTTTCATGACAAAAAGAGGCACTGAACACCTGCTATTTGCCTCTCGTTTGAGTAATAATCGCAAGGCTCTCTAATTAGAACCTTCATAGTGTCGCGATGACAATTTTTCTCGCCTAAACGTGTGATGACCACAAATTCCCTGTTCTAACCTATAAAAATCATGACCTATGGTGGAGAATACCCATTCAGATAACACGCTTAGGGGACCCCACCCTTCCCCCTATAGGGTGTACATTAACTTTGTAGAACGCAGTGTAAATGAGGTCATGACAAATGTGCTGATCATTTGGCGTATACGTTTTATTGATGATTTCCGATTTCAAGAACAACTTTAGAATCAATGTAAATATGTTCTTACGGCAGATACAGGAAACGAATGAAGTTGTATTTATCCATTTCCTCTGTGTTCTTGCACTCTAAATAGTCTCCTCAAAGATTCCCTAAATATGGGCATTCTGAAACTATATGTAACTGGATTCACTGCTGAGTTGGCGAGATGTAGAACCCTCCCTGTCAGCATCACTGGTGCCGAGATACAAACAGGACAAAAATCACCCAGTGTGTACAAAATTAGACCTGGCAGCCAACAGACAAGCGACAATCCTATGACGAGTAACAACGTTTGGGAAAGTTTCTTGTTTCTTTCCAAATAACTCCTGTTTTGATTTCAAGAGTACGGATGCGTGCGTTTCAAGTACTTGCATATAGTCAGGTAGCCTGTACAAACAAGACTTACAGAGAGCAGATAAACTACATTTACAGCCACGGTTGACGGCATTTTATCGGACGCAGAGAAAACTGGTATCAAAAAGATCAATGATGTGCCCATCCCAGCGGTCCAGGCGAAGGTAATGGCGCCAAAATAAACTCTTAGGCTCACTGTTCGGTGGCGAATTGGCCTCAGAACGGAGAAAGCTCGTTCGATTGATATAAGAGCGAGGCAACAACTAGATGAAGAAGAGAAAAAAATTGTCAAAGACGTCGTGATGAAGTTTACCAGGGGAATCAGGGTATCTTTGAGAAAAGACACGCCGAAAAGGTTTGGAACCTGTCCAGAAGCGAGTGATATTAATTCCCATACGCCTACCAGAAGATCAGAAACTGCGAGGTTGATTAACAGATACGAGGTTTGTCGCAAAGTAAGCCTCTTCTGCCAAAAAACAAAAATAGCAAATGCATTTCCAATGGAAATGACAAGGGCCTCGACTGAGAGTAGAAAACAAAATAGCATGAAGAGTGTTTGAGGCATTTGTGCTCTGACTGTGGTCGGAATTCGCCGAACTTATGACCGGGTACTACCTTTAAAAAGCTAAATTAACTTATATGAGTGCGACATTGCTATACCTTGATTAAAAATTTAAAATAAATGAATTGTGCAAATAATTGTTTGTTCTTGCAGAGAGGCTACTACTGTTGTCGACCTGTTTTAATAAAACTGGATGCAAATTTATCTTAGACTGAGATAAAATAAGCAAGGCGGAATTTTGATTGGTCAAGACTTGAACGTCATTTTGTATAGTTATGGTTGGGTTTTTTAATTTTTTCAATTAAATATGGCATGCATGAAAAAATAATAACAAGACAATTTCATAACAAGATTAAGATCTTTGTACAAGCTCACCCTTTATTTTCCTTTCACGTCCTCTGTTAAGATATATAGCAAAATTCTCTCTTTATACATTCTCATGACTAGTTAAATTGATTTAAAATGCCTGCAGAACATTGCAACTTGCCTAATTTTGGCACTTGTTGCTCATTCTAAGGATCAGCAGGAAAGCTTTATGTTTTTTAGAGAGGCTTGTAGATGCCTCCTATAACTTTCATCATAGGTCCTTTTGGGCTCCTACATGTTTTTGTCGTCGTTGCTTTTCAACATAACTTTGTAATAAATATAGTATAGGCTTATTCCGCCATATGTAACCTTTTTTTCTGTTTTTTTTTTGAACCGTTATGTTTTTGTTTTTTTCTTTGAATTGCAAGCAATTACTCAGTAACGTCTGCCTTATTTCTCAAGTTCTTCTATTAGTTACTTTTTGCTGACTGTGCGAGCAAGTTTAAGTTAATCATGACATCTTAAAGATCTTTACGTTATATATTAGACAAAGTTGCATTTCAAAAAAATTACAATTAAGCAGGGGGTTTTCAATATACACATGATAATCTAAACTATTACTTCTCTGCGTACTATCCACGTTCTCTCAGTTCTAACCTGATGAAGTTTCTATGTATGTACACTTCTGCTTACTACTTTCTAAAACCTTGCTTTGGAATCATACATGATCTTTCATTTGCAGATCCTCCCGCTCGTAGAAAACAGAGAGCATCAGTCGAACGTCTTTTTTATACAAATTCATCTCAGACCTGCTTGCTAAAGATGGCTATTAAAACATTCCAACTGACCAGACTGAACTGTATTCTCGCTCGAGATACATCTAAAGCATCTAATTTTGTTCAGGAATTTTTTCATCTCTTCTCTAAACATAGGCATACGATAACTGTAGACAACTGGGTTAACTATAGAATTCGACAGATGTAATACCCTTGTACTGGAGACAATTTGTAGTCTAACCATTGCTTCAGAACAAGGGTTGCAGTTTACTTGAACGCCGGTAACCACGATGGCGGGGACCCAAAGTAGGAGAGACAAAGTTGTAACTATGATCAATGTACGGGATAGTTTCATGTTTTGTTCCTCTGTGTGACGATTGTGAGCATCGAGTGACAGCACAGTTTTGTTCATTCGGGTGCGAATCGCCCTGTACGATGCAACAAAAATGGCTAACGAACAAAGCAGTGCTAATTCGGTGGGGATGTTAGCTTCTTTATCAATTACATCTAATGAGACCAGTGTGTAGAGTACTCCAATAGTTATTCCAGCAATCCAAGCTAAAGCAATGTTCACGATGTAAAATTTTGTACTTATGGTTCGATGACGATATGGCCAGAGTACTGCATAAACACGCTCTAAAGATATTCCCACCAAGCAGAATAACGACGAACACGAAAATGAAATCTGAAATGCGGAGAATGGCTCGTCGTAAATGATCGCCTTCACAGTCATTTCCCGAAATGAGAGGAAAATTATTTCTAACAATGCTGCAGCGCCTATGAGAAAATCCGTCACAGCCAGATTTATCAAAAGAAAAGCAGTTCTTTTTAAGCAGAGTTTTCGTTGAACAAATACATAAATGGTAAAAGCGTTACTAGCTAATATCACTAATGCCTGGATGATATTGATGACGGAAAAAAATAAGGCAGTTGTCGAGGCTGACATGGCTCCCAAAACCGGATCAATTTCAGAATAGAATCTTTGACACAACTCAGCCTTGACCGTTAACTAACAACGAACCTCCACCCGATCGCAACGGAAACTTTGAGGTTATACGAAGCACAGAGCCCCCAATTTGAATTTTATATGTTGGGACACCGCACTGCGTCATGGATAAATAACACATGCGCCGGAAGAGGAGCTATACACATTACAAGCTATATGTTCGCCTAAAATGGTATTTTTTTTTAAGAAAGATGAGCAGTTTGACCACTTTAAAACTGATTTTGTCTCTGTCTAATTCGCCTAAAGCACAGTGCATGTAATCTGATTGACTAAAATGAAACAGCGCCATTTTCTAAAACAATTTAGCATAAAGTGAAATCTTTTCAGGACTTGATCACGAAAATTTCAGAATAAAACCCCTGTCGGCTTTTCATCAACCATTCGATCTGTTTTTATTTGCATGATTTCTCCGCTCTGTTGGATAATCAAGCAACAAGAGTGAAACAATCGAGTGAGTAATGAAAAAGGTTCATACCATAAAAGGCTAATAGGTTTCAAAGTAAAAAAAAAAAGGGGAAGGCGTGAAAGACTTCTCCTTGTCATATTTTAGGCAAAATGTTTTCCTCTTTAATTAATACGTTTTTTAAGATTTGATTATTTAGAAGCGAGTAAATCGACAAAGAGAAAATTATTTGAACTTATCTGGAAGCAGATCACATTAAAAGCAGATTAATTACTTATCTATTAAATTGCACGTCCAGAGAAATGAAAGTACAAATTTCCTAATGAGTTGTTTCCTTCCGCGAAAACGTCCCTCAGGCTCCGCCGAATACATAGAGAAATAATAACTGTTTTCTGGATTTCACCGATAATTACTACGTCTGTGTACTTCACTTTTAGATTTGAGATGTTGGTCAGCCTAGAGCCTGGTTTCATTTTCCCAAGTACGGCTGTCATATTTGTTGAACGTTTCTGGCGAAAAATAAACTTGGGTAACATTGAATTACATTGACATCGATTAGCTCAGTGCATTTGCTGTATAAGTAATTTACGAATGTTGAAAATTTCCTTTCTTGAGCATAGAGAGGGTGGTACTTTCCTTAACTATAGGGAATTTCATTGAAATCCAGCATTGCTACTGGTTTGGACAGATCGTTTGGGCTTTTTACACCAGCCTTTGAACTTCTCCTGTTATTCCGTGTCCTTCTCGGTTTTAA